TGGAGTTGTGTACCAATATCCTTGGATAGCTTGGTTGAGGTGGCCACCGGAGTAAAAACAGCTTTGGACTAGTGGATTTTTGAACAATATAAGATGTCTAGAATATATCTGCACTGAGAATGAAGCAAATCCTTCGGAATGGTGATTAGCTTCAATGCCAATAAATGTAAGGGTCTTGATGAGTTGTAATATATGTGCTTATATATATATATATATATATTTTTTTTTGTGATGAGAATTTCATCAACATAAACAAGAAAATAGGTAAGGATGCCTAAGAAATAGATAAGGAGGTATTTTCAATCTCACAAAGGCATATGAAATCAAGAAGGAACTTAGTCTATGAAACCATGAACGCAGGGCCCGTTTTGAAGCTATAAAGAGCTTTTTGTAATTTTCAGACACAGTTTGGATATTGTGGACCAAAAAACCCTGGAGGTTGACTCATGCTGACATCTTTTTTAAGGTTTTCGTGAAAAATGCATTGTGCACATCGAGTATTTTAGAACCCAATTCTGAGAAATGACACAAGAAATGGGAGTTCGAATAGTAGTTGGTTTGATAGCAGGACTAAAAGCTGTAAAATCAATACCTTCTTGCTGATTGTGGCCTTTTGCAACTAAATGGGCTATATAGTATTTTAATGAACCATCTGCATGGAGTTTGATAAAAATTCATTTGCATCCAATAATATTCATCGAAGACTATTGAAGATTTAATGGAGGAATCAGTGGAGGAAAATATTTCAATAATTGATGTTGTTTCCTATTATTGAAGATTTGGTGTTACTAGAGGAATTAATGGAGAAAAATCCTCATTGTTTCATATTTTCAAATTCTTTCCATTCTCCTAATTTCTTCTTCTATATAAAGGAGCCTCCACCATTGTATTGTGTATGAATTGAGAGAGCATTATAAAAGTGATGTAGCCTTTTGGGCTTTTTGTGCCGTGGATGTAGGCCTTAGTGGCTGTATCACGTAATATCTGTGTGTTCTACTTGTTTTATTTATCTCTTCGCTTCCGTTTTATACTTTACAACATGGTGTCAGAGCCTAATTTCTCTTCCTAGGTTCGGACCCCTATTTTGGGATATTCCCTTAACATCTGAAATGTTGCTAAGGGTTTTTAGGCGCTATTTGTGACTTGCTTGGACTGCCGGTGTGTTCAGTAGCACTGTTCTTTGCCTTTGCCGTGTCTCCAGCAGTTTGTATTAACTTGTTTGGACTGCCAGTTTGTTCGGTAGCATTGTCTTCACCTTTACCATGTCTCCGGCAATTTTTGTTTGACTTGTTTGGGCTGCCAGTGTATTTGGTAACATTGTCTTCACCTCTGTCGTGTCTCCGACAATTTTTTTTGACTTGTTTAGGCTACCGGTGTGTTCGGTAGCATTATTCTTCGCCTTCTCTCATCTCTCTTCATCATTCACACTTGTTGTTACGCGTCATCTCAATGGCAAGTTGGGCATTCATGCTCCAACTTGAGGGGGAGTATTGAAGATTTAATGGAGGAATCAGTGGAGGAAAATCTTTCAGTAATTGATGTTGTTTCCTATTATTGAAGATTTGGTTTTACTAGAGGAATCAGTGGAGAAAAATCCTTCTTGTTTCATATTTTCTAATTCTTTCCATTCTCCTAATTTCTTCTTCTATATAAAGGAGCCTCCACGATTGTATTGTGTATGAATTGAGAGAGTATTATAAAAGTGATGTAGCCCTTTGGGCTCTTTGTGCTGTGGATGTAGGCCCTAGTGGTTGAACCATGTAATATCTGTGTGTTCTACTTGTTTTATTTATCTCTTTGCTTCCGTTTTATACTTTACAACAAAAACATTTGCAGAACAACATTCCATGTGCCATTGTGAAGAAGTGCATTGAATTCCGCTCTCATTGCAGTTCTCCAATTTGCTAACTTGTTGGCTTTGGTAAAACTAGTTGGTTCAGTTTAATAATTTGTTCTTTCAGTGAGAAGAGCAGTGGGCAAATGATATTTGGTATGCTTATAAGTCTCTAGATTGGCGAGTCCACCTTGGGATCTAGTTGTCATTGGATGGATTCGAAAAGGTCTAGGAAGGTCAGTAGGAAGATTTGATGCTCGGATATGTGGGAGACATGTACAAACATGAACTATGCTCATGTTGAATTATGTGGGTTTATGTATTGAGTTGTCATGCTTGAAGCAGATGAACGTGCTGGAGAAGATGATTTTACAAATGGAAACCGGTTTCATTGAAAACGTGACAAGAGATGAGAAGCTTCCCATTAGAGCGATTTAGGCATTAATACCCACAATGCCTGGCATTGTTGTCTTTTAGCCGAGAAACACGGGTAGCATGCAAGAACCAAAATCCCAAATAAGAAAATAATCTGGGTTGATCTTGAATAGCTTACGAATAGGAATGTCGTTAATAGCCAAAGATGGGAGCCGATTGATTAAGAAAACTTCCGATTCAAAAGCATGATGCCAGTGAACTTGAGGAATAGTTGTATGTGCCATTAAAGATAGTCTAGGTTCAAAAGTGTGCTGATGACGTTGTTCAGCTGCACCATTTTGTTCATGAGTGTGTGGACTTGATAATATGTGCTCAATACTGCAATCATTTAGGAATGATAACACATTTTGATAATCACCACCCGAGTCACTTTGAAAGTGTTTAATTTTTGTTTCAAACAAATTTTCCACATCCAGTTTAAAACGCTTGAACACAGTCATAACATCAGCCTTCTGAAAAATTAGAAATATCCATTCAAATTTGCTGTAATCATCTACAGAATGAACATTAAATCGATGTCCATCTAAGGATTATATAGGTGGACACCAGATGTCGGAGTACACTAGATTGAGTGGTTACATACTAATTGAAGTAGATTAATGAAATGGAAATTTATGACTCTTCCCTAACTGGCATGCCGAACAATTCCACTAGATTTTTTGTGGACTACTGGAACTCCAGAACGAGCAAGTACTAGAGAACCACTCATAGTGAAGGATGGCCTAGTCTTTGGTGCCATTGGTCTAATGTTGCTTTCTCACTGACAAAAACTTTATGGCAACTGTTGAAGGATGTTAATATTAAAGTTGCACCCTCTCTAACAGCTTAAGCTTTTAGAGTAGATGGTTGTCAACATGGTGTCAGAGCCAAAGGTCTCGAGTTCAAACCTTACCGTCACCAAAATTAAAAATTGAAAAACATGTGTTGGACCAAAAAGAAGGCCACACGTGAGGGGGCGTGTTGAAGGGTATAAATATTAAAGTTGCACCCTTTCTAACAGCTTAAACTTTTAGAGTAGATGGTTGTAAACAGCAACCTTTATTCATTGGCTGACAATTTATTGCTAACCGGTAAAGAACATCTTTATTCCAATCTTTGGCTCGGTTCTTTATAAAAGATATTATCCGGGTGAAATTCAAAGATGACATTATAATCACGAGTAAAGCGTGAAAAAGATAACAAGTTGAGAGTAATAGATGGCACATGTAGAATATCATTCAAAATTTGATTGGAGCCAAGATCAGAATATTAGAAGAACCAATGTGTTTGCAAACCTGAACCACCACTAATCTTCACACACTCTGGGCCATTATACTAAGAATGGAGTGAGATATTTGAAAGATATTCTATGATGTGATCTGTTGCACCTGAATCTGGATACCACTCAATATCAACAGTTGCAGTGGTTGCAAGAAAAACATTGACTTGAGGCTTGGTTTTAGCTTGAATGGTATGATAAAACCGGTAACGACATTGAAGTGCTGCATGACCATATCAATTACAAATCTGACAAGTTGGCTTTTGATTTGAGGATGAGCTAGCCAACTACAAATGTTCGCAAATACGTCCACGACCACGGTTTTGATTTCTTGGTCCACGACCGCAGCCTCTTTGGTTATAACCATGACTATTGTTGCAGTGATTTGTGATAGCTGTATTTACAGAGTGATAAGCTATTCAAGTGCCTTATTCATCTCATTGAGATGAATTTACTCACTAGGCAGCATCATCCCCTGAAAATCAACCAAGGTTAGTGGTTCTTCTTAAGTGATGACAGAAGTCACAAAATGTCTATCTTCAGAATCCAAACCACGTAGACTATGGAGAATCAAGTCTTCTTCAAGTATTAGTTTAGAAGCTGCTGCTAGCTTATCAGCAATGGTTTTTGCCCTCAAGAAGTATTCAGAAATGGAGTCATTACCCTTCTTGAGAACTTGGAGTTGGTAACATAATTGCATAATGCGCTTTTTGGAATGCAAAGCAAATGTACGCTCCGAGTGGATCCATAGTTCGTGGGATGCATGCAACCCAGCAGCATGCCTGATAACATGAGAAGAGATAATCCAACTCACAATAAGTTGATCTTGTTGCTGCCATGCCAAAAAGTCAGAATTAATCTGGATTCCTAGCATTTCTTTGTTTTGAACACATTTCGATATACACTTGAAAGTCCCATCAACAACTCCGTCAGACCATAGCCTTTCAATAGGGGCAACAATTGTCACGTTACAAAAGATAGTTTGTGTTGTTCAATTTGACATCAAGAGAATGTTGGACGTATTGGGAGGCAGTTCCACTGGAAACATTCTTGTTGCTAGGATTCTGAGTCATGGTGAACAAAGGAATTGATACCGTACAAAAGACAATAGTCAAGAATATACTTAGAATGCCTCCTACATTTGTGGAGTTACGTGTATTTTATATATACAATACACAGTTTACATTTCAATATTGAGTGCATGAATCAATGACCTATAAATGTTAGACAATAGACTTCCATATTGAGTACGCGATGACACGAATTAAGGAACTATATATAGAGATTATTCACATGGGAAAAACTAAAGTCAAAATTTGGATTCCAGAATCATTCATGTGCCATCTGAGGATTGATTTGGTGTGTGAGGATCTACCACCATTATTTCTTTACAGTGTTCATGCTTTTTTTGAATCATTTTATGACATTAAGTGTTTTGCTGGTTGATTCTCATAATAACTTCTTTTCTTACAGATACGAACATTAAGCATGCTAAGGTCTCGGTTTCAGTCTTTACCTGGTGCATTCAACACACATTTAGTGCCTTCTGATAAGACTAAGAAAAGGGGATTTTCTTTTTCAAAGTATTATTCTGAGGTGACATCTTGTCTTTCTGCAGTATTATATCTAAGTACATGTTAAGGTGGGTGGGTTTGTTGTCGTATGTGTAACCGTTATATTCTTAAGCATGTATAGGTTACAGCAAGCAGGAGAAGTGAAGCAGCAAAATTTGCTCAATTATGGAATGAAGTAATATGTAGTTTCCGTGAAGAAGATCTCATAAGTGACAGGAAAGGCCCCTCAATTGACTTCTTTTGTTTCAGCTACCTACCTATTTTATTATCAGGCTGTAGGTACTAAATCTTTTTTTATATTCCAGGGAAATGGACTTGTTGCTAGTTCCTTATTCATCAGATCCTAGTCTGAAACTAATTCAGTGGCCACCTTTTTTGCTTGCAAGCAAGGTCAGTGGAGTTTCCTGAAGTTTTTTATTTTTATTTTTTATCTTACTAGCTTTGTCGTGATCATCTACCTTTGCAGATCCCAATTGCATTGGATATGGCGGGTCAATTTCGATCAAAAGATGCTGACCTTTGGAAGCGAATATGCGCTGATGAATATATGAAATGTGCTGTTATCGAATGCTACGAATCTTTCAAACTTGTCCTGAATGCTTTGGTTATTGGAGATACTGAGAAGAGGTTCTTTTTTATGCTTTTTTCCTCGAGCAATCTAGTTGTATTGTGTCCATAGACTGGTCATTCCCATATAGTTCGATCATGGTATAAGATAATATGCTTGTTTTATTACCTGAACAATTTTTCTTGGGTTATAAACTGAACCAGAGCCTTTTTCTCAGCTATTTGGGGGTTGGCTACATGTTTGTGGCTACCACATCTCTGCTAACAATCATATTGTCCCATTTTGCTGTATTTAAGACTGGCCTCAATCAAACCATATGTTATCATATCTTTCCTTACTCTACCCACGTTAACTTTGATCTTCCTCTTCCCCTAATATTACTCTCAATGTGGACTATATCACTTTTCCTAACTGGCGCACTTAGAGGTCTTCTGTGTACGTCCAAACCATCTGAACTGATTTTCTCTTTATTTTGTCTCCAATTGGTGCTACTCCAACCATCTCACTAATGTGATCATTTCTAATTCTATCTTTTGTAGTCTTACTGCACATCCATCTCAACATTCGCATTTCTGCCACACTCACTTTTGTTTCGTAGCTGCCCAACATTCTGTCCCATGAGGTACTATTGGTCTAATAGTTATTCTATAAAACTTCTCTTTCAATCTTAACGAGATACGCTGATAACACAATATAATAGTTGCACTCCTCCATTTAACCCATCATGCCTTGATTTTATGATTAGTATCTGTTAACAACCATCTACTCCAAAAGCTTAAGATATTAGAGAAGGTATAACTTTAATATTTAAATCCTTCAAAACACCCCCTCACGTGTTGCCTTCTTTTTGTCCAACACGTGTTTTCAATTTTAATTTTCAGGGTGACGGTGAGGTTTGAACTAAGGACCTTTGGCTCTGATACCATGTTATCAACCATCTACTCCAAAAGCTTAAGCTATTAGAGAGGGTGTAACTTTAATATTTAAATCCTTCAACAATATAATTTTCAATTTCTGCGTCATTATGAATAATTGAGCCCAAAATGCAAAAATGTTCATTTTTTTGTACCTCTTCAATCTCAATCTTCACTACTTCCTCCTTTGTATTTGTAGATTTACTAAAGTTACGATTCATATATTCAGTTTCATTTCTACTTATTGTTAACCCTTCTAATTCTAGAGCTTCCCTCAAAACCTCCAATTTAGCATTAACTCCTCCTCTAGTTTCATTGACTAAAACAATTTCAACGACAAATAACATACACCATGGGATCTTATCTTGAATGTGTCCTCTTAGCTCATCCAAAACTAAGGTAAAAAGGTATTTGCTTAATATCGGCCCTTGATTTAAGCCTACAGTCATTCTAACTATAGTAAAAAACCATTATACATGTCCTTTATAGTGTTAATATATCCCTTTGTGACTCCATTTTTCTAAATCCTCTATATTAGATCTCTAGGTACTCTATCATAGGCTTTCTCTAAATCAATAAAACCATATGGAGATCTTTCTTCTTCTCTGTCACTGCAGTTTCTCATCTTAGTTCTCCAATCACTCCTAAAGTTTCATAGTATGACTCATTAAATTTAATACCACGATAGTTATCATAACTTGTATATTCGCTTTATTTCTATATATAGGTATTAAAATACTTTTGCGCCACTCATCAGGCATTCTCTTAGTTGTTATTATCTTGTTAAACTATTTTGTTAACCAAGACAAGCCATCCTTCCTTAGACACTTCTAAACCTCAATAAGAACACTGTTGGGCCCTAAAGCCCTTCCGGTTTCATCTTCCTTGAGGCATTTCTAAGCTCACACTTCTTAACCTTATGGAAAAGTAAGTTATCTCTAAGAGGTACCATATTCTTCTAAGCCTGAACTTTTAAGATAAGTTTCATTTAACAATTTCTCAAGATAACTTTTTCATCTTTCTTTTATTTCATCATCTTTTACTAAAACCCTTGAATCTTTGCTCTTAAAGCATTTAATATGGGTAAAATCTCTGGTTTTCTTCTCCCTTAGTTTAGCAAGTTTATATATATTATTCTCCCCATCTTTTTTTGCCTAGTTTAGAATAAAGATCATCCCCAAATTTAATTTAACCTGACTTTTGACTATCTATATAATTTTAATATATATACTTGGATCAACCTTTTTTTCTTTTAGTTCATTTTCTTTAATTATTAATTAATTGTGTATTAATACTTTAGAAAAATTAGTTTCATGAGAATTTGTTATATAATTACATTCAGTTTTTTCAAAATTTTATGAGTAGGAATAAACAAAATGAGACTAACCCAATATCAATCCAAATTTTGAAACTCAGTCCAAATTGAAGGTGGGTTGAAGATCGGGTTGTGCTGGTTTTAGGTTGAAGGTTTTATTCCTTAGGCTGAGCCTGAGTTGACCCCTCAACTTGCGCAACCCTCCTGAGTTGCATTGCTAACCTTACATTTCTATCCTTCTAATAATAGCTTTTTTTTTCCCCTTAGACAGACCTTATGCTTCTGAAATAGTTTACGGAAAATTTAGAGTAACCAAGCTTTGGGTCCATATTTACCAAAAGCCCAACATCCATTCAATTATTAAAAAATCCAACCAACTTTCCAGACTACCATATTTTGCTGCACACTTTTTTTCCAAGGGCTACAATGCCTCCTCCTAACTTCCTAGTTTCTCTATTCACCCTTTTCTTTCTCTCTAATTTTTTATGGACCTCTGCATCCTGTAACCCAAAAGCCAAACTAGTTAGCTATATATAAAGAAATATATATCTACAGAGAGAGAGAGACCCTGTTGATATTATTAGTAAGGACATCTGCTGCTGAAGTGGAGTATCTGTTGTGGTATGTGCATCTATATATATTTATATATGCATGCATACAACTTCTAGTGAGGACCTTGGTGGTATTCATCTGTATATTTACAAGTGAGAACATCTTTGGAGCTATTTATATACATGTTTTAACAAATTTGTTACAAGAGCTTTACTATCTTCATTCAGCCGCTGCATTTTAAAAGCCAACCATTTGGTTTTGCTTCAAGATGGTGCACTTTTAGTGTAGGCACCACTTTTTGTTCACTAGCATACCACTTCTACAGCATGAGAAAACCAACTGGTACATTTCAAAATCAACCGCTCGGTTTTTTTCTAAAGATGTACCACTATTTTTTTTTACCACTTTTAGTTTACTTACGTACCACTTTCAGTACACAAATGTACTACTTTTAGTGCACATCAAGGTGTGATAGGTATATGAATCATGTCTTGGCAATTTCCTATTCAAAACTTGATTTGTAATGTGTCAAAGTGTCTTGAATCATACGATTACAACCATTGAAGACAAATGCAGACAAAGATTTTCGAAGAACATGGTACAAATTTCGCATCATCAATCATATATCTAAGGCACAAGTAAATTGACCTTAGAAAGATCTTAATTGACCTAGATTGATCTTGGAGAGGCCCAAAGTTTTGTTTCAAACATGTTTTTGAAATATTTCTTTTCAAAAGTAAAGGATTTCAACATCTTTCAAAATTGTTTTTTTGGTGAAAAATAGTAGATGTGGATCAATAGGTAGATCGATTGAACATTGTCTAAAGACTGTCGATGCAATGAATGATCGATTGGTTGATGTCCGAACTGCAGGGTTGAAATCCTGGGAGCATTGACCGTAGCATCAATCGATCCAGATTTTTGTAGAAAACTATTTTAAAATCCAGAATGCTTCAATTGATAGGTCGATTGATTGAAGTTAGTATAGTAGGTGTCGATTGAAGTCTTGATCCCTTCAGACCTATATTTTTTAAATTCTGCTGTTACTGTAGCAAGTATTGGTATGTTCAGTTCGATTCACAAAGTGAAGTGATGCGGAGCTGTGGACTCAAAACTTGGTTACTATACAAAATTTTCCACTAGCTTATATGTGTTTCTCTTACTCTGCAATCCATATATTTTCCTGGTCAAGTTGCTTGTATTGACAATTGTATCAGGACCTTGCCTGCTTTGATACCATGTTAACCACCATCTTCTCTAAAAGCTTCTTTTAGAGAAGATGGTGGTCAACAGTCCTCTATACAAAAAATATGATGCTCAAATTGCATATAATTCAATATTTTCATTCAATGGAGCACTGATTAGAACTAGAGGACTGTATTCTTTTTCTGCTTCTTTTTTCTTCTATTTTTTTATTTTTATTTCAACAATCAATTTAGACTGTAAGAGAAACTTAAAAACTATGATGAAATTGATGTTCTTGAGTCTAATATTATCACCATCAGTACTGCAATCTAAGTGGTCTAGTTTTCTATGAAACAGGATAATTGGCATCATTATTAAAGAAGTTGAAAGCAACATTTCAAAGCATACTTTTCTTGCAAATTTCAAAATGGGTCCTTTACCTACTCTGTGCGAGAAATTTGTGGAGCTTGTGGATATACTGGTGGGTCATTTGCACGGGTCATTTGCAAAGAATAATCATTCATATCTGCAATATGGCTTAGTTATGACATACTTCTTTTTCATGTTTTAGAAACTTAAACTTCATTGCATATTGCAGAAAAATGCTGATTCATCCAAGCGAGATCGTGTGGTTTTGTTGCTGCAAGACATGTTAGAAGTAATCACCCGTGACATGATGGAAAATGAGATCCGGTTGGTGACTTTTCTAGCATTATATGGAAATTATTTTTTTTTCTTTCTAAAAGCTTAATGTTTTTCACCATTACGACCATATAATGAGTTTTTTGATTGAATTTTTTAGTGAAGTGGTAGAACTGGGCCATAGTAGCAAGGATTCTGGAAGGCAACTTTTTGCTGGCACTGACTCAAAACCTGCTATCGTGTTCCCCTTGGTTACAGCACAATGGGAAGAACAGGTACTTATGCCTGGCATATATATATATATAGATATATATGCATGTTTATGTATTAAACCCTTGGTTTCTTGCAAGAAATAATATGTTAATTTCCTTGATAATAATATAGATAAGACGTCTGTATCTTCTTTTGACTGTAAAAGAATCTGCCGATGATGTGCCAACAAACCTTGAAGCTCGCCGAAGGATGTCATTCTTTACAAATTCATTGTTCATGGACATGCCAAATGCTCCTCGAGTTCGCAAAATGCTTTCATTCAGGTAGAGCTCATATTTCCTTAAGCATATGATATATAGTAGAAATATAAAAAGAAGGAGAGAATTGTGTAAATGCTTGAATGAGATGAATCACTCATTCACAGCTCTAGTATTTATAGATAAAAAGAGCACATGCTCATATTTTAAGAAAGAAAACTAAATCAAATCACATCATATTCTAAAGCATATTCTATAGCATAATTAAATCTCTACTAATATGGTAAGTCATTCCATAAATCGTGGCTATCATATATGCTAACATATGCATAATCAAATCTCTGCTATTATGATTAGTCATTCCATAAATTGTGGCCATCATATATACTAACACTCCCCTTCAAGTTGGTGCGTGGATATCTGAAACGCCCAACTTGGACAATGCATTCTCAGACACAATCTTGTTGACGCCCTTTGTAAGAATGTCTGCAAGCTGCTGAGAGCTTGTGACAAATGGAGTGCAAATTTGACCAGAGATGATCTTCTCTCGAATGAAGTGATGATCCACCTCTATATGCTTAGTCCTGTCACGCTGAACGGGATTTGCTGCTATGCTAATGGCAGACTTGTTGTCACAATAGAGTGAGAATGAAAGCGACACTGGAAGGCACAAGTTTGTCATCAAGGTTTTCAGCCATAGCTACTCATATACCCTAAGAGCTATAGCCCTATCCTCTACCTTTGCACTAGATCGAGAGATAACATCCTGCTTCTTATTGCGCCAAGTAACCAAGTTACCACCAATAGTGGTACAATAACCCGAAGTTGACCTCCTATCTGAAATCGTTCCTGCATAATCAACATCTGTCCAAGCCTTAGTACGTAAGTGACCATGATTGGCAAACAAAATACCACGGCCCGGACACCCTTTTAAGTAGCGAAGGATCTAAATAGCTGTATTAAGGTGAGGGGTACGAGGAGAGTGCATGAATTGACTCACGATACTCACGGCATAAGCAATGTCAGGTCGATTCATGGATAAATAGATGAGCTTTCCCACAAGTCGTTGATACTGACCAACATCTAACAATAACTCCCCTTTGGAATCAGCTAACTGATGATTTTGCTCAATCGGAGTATCAGCAGGATGAGCGCTAAGCTGACCAGAAGCAGAAAGTAAGTCAAGAGCATACTTGCGTTGCGAGAGGAAAATGCCAGCCTTGGAGCGAGCCACCTCAATGCCCAAGAAGTACCGTAGGGGACCAAGATAGCCAAGATAGCTCTTAACCTCAGCAATTCCAGTAGTATCATCTCCGGTAAGAACAATATCATTTACATACACAATGAGAGCAACTGTCTTACTGCCTGACGTAAAAACAAGGTATGACCATCTCCGCCTTCTCAAGCTATTGTTTCGCTTGATGATCGCCCCATTGCTCTTCGAAAAGGTAAACGTTCTTGTACATACCCTATTTCTAATTTTGTTTCTAATTGTGCCCTCTCACCCTCCTATCGGAGTTTTCTTGTTTCTGTTGCCTTGGTTCCTCTTCCTTCTAGTGTTGCAGATACAATAGCACAACCTCAATGGTGTGATGCTATGACAGAAGAACTACAAGCACTTGAGAAAAATTAGACTTGGGACATGGTTCTGCTTCCTATTGGACGAAAGTTTGTGGGTTGTCGTTAGGTGTTTACAGTTAAACATAATCCAGATGGGTCAGTTGCTCGTTACAAGGCCCGGTTGGTTGCCAAGGGTTATGCTCAGACTTATGGCATAGATTATCAGGAGACTTTTGCCCCTGTTGCCAAGATGAATACCATTCGTGTATTATTTTCCGTTATTGCGATTCGATCTTGGCCTCTATTTCATTTAGATGTGAAGAATGCCTTTCTCAATAGTGACAACCCTCACCCTAGCCAAACACAATATTATCCGCTTTTGGCTGCCTCAGACCAAAGACTTCTCAGGGGTCACCCATCCTGGTACACTCCAGGTTAAGCACGCTTAACTCTGGAGTTTTAGTGGGTTCACGGCCATTACGGCTTTAAAACACGTTGTGTCATATAAGGGTGTTGAATTTACATATAGCATTTGCCCCATCCCTACCCAGGCAATGTGGGATTGTGCACCTGTAGCTCGCCTAGTATGGTAGCTTACTGGTGCCACCTGCACAAGCTCACACACACCCGCTAACAAGGTTGCCACAATCCCCCCCCCCCCCCCCCCCCCCCGGGGCCCAACGTCTTTGTTGGCCACATTTCCGGCTGGATCAGGCTCTGATACTGCTATCATAAGAAGAAGGAGAGAATTGTGTAAAGGCTTGAATGAGATGAATCACTCATTCATAGCTCTAGTATTTATAGATAAAGAGAGCACATGCTCATATTACAAGAAATGAAACTAAATCAAATTTAAATCAAATCACAGCATATTCTAAAGCATATTCTATGGCATATTCTATAGCATACCCAAATTTTTGCTAATATGGTAAGTCATTTCATAAGCTGTCATATATACTAACATATGCATAATCAAATCTCTGCTATTATGGTAAGTCATTCCATAAATCGTGGCTATCATATATGCTAACGTATATTTTGTGGGGTTTGTTATAGGATATAACTATTAAAGCAAACCCTCTGTTATAGCTTAAGGTTTTGGAGCAATCAGTTGTCCAGCTTTGGTTCCAGGAGGTCTTGGGTCCAAGTCATCTACCCTAAAAGAGTACTTATCAAAAAAAAAAAAATCTACCCTAAAAGAGTAAGTAGATGGTGGTTGTCGTAGTATTAGACTCAAAAGATCTTGAGTTCAAGTTTCACCATCACCTTGATATTTAAAATTGAAACATGTTGGATAAAAAGAGCCCACATGTGAGGGTGCGTGTTACAAGATATAAATGTTAAAGTTACACCCTATCTATAGCCTGAAGCTTTTGGAGCAATTGGTGATCTATCAAGGTTAAATTGATTTAGAGAAAGCAGTTGTAGGTCATCCTGTCCACCAAATGCCTTATGCTCACTGAAGTAACTTGAGCTCAATTTTTTGGCCATTTTTAAAAATTTTCTAGTGTATATTGTACGCATTAGATATTTTATGAAACGTAAGAATTTGTGAGCTTCCAAGTGAATGATCTGACTCAATCAAGAACATTTGATGTACTATTATTTGTTGTCACCATCAATAAATGGGAGCATTAATTTTTATTTTATTATTTTCGATATTAATTGCCACCATAAACAACTTGAGAAACTTTATGTAACTATATTTCCTATTAAGACAACAAAAATAATTGTCAGATATTTTACACTCTCATGAATTCATTAAGCTGTTGTAAGTTTTCAATTGTCACATGATTATTTATTACATGGCATTGGCAGTGTCTTGACTCCATACTATAGCGAGGAGACTGTCTATTCTAAAAGTGACCTTGAAGTTGAGAATGAAGATGGTGTATCAATCATATATTATCTGCAGAAGATCTTCCCAGGTTTCAAAGTTCATAAACATCCATACTAACAGTTCCTGTTTACATGGTACTTCTGTTTTATGTGGTTTCAATCTAATTTATGTAGCTGATATGGAAACTATTCTGTGACATTTTAGATGAATGGAATAACTTCATGGAGCGACTCAACTGTAAGAAAGAGAGTGAGGTTTGGGAAAATGACGAGAACATCTTACAACTACGTCATTGGGTCTCCTTAAGAGGACAGACTCTCTGCAGAACAGGTGCCTGACACACTTTTCCCCCCCCTTAAATATTCCTATTGTTCGAGCTTGATATACACTGTTGGACCCGTTCTCTAACAGCTTAAGCGCTTGGAGCAATTGGTAGTCTAACATGGTATCAGAGCTTTTGTTTTGGGAGGCCTTGGTTCAAGTCTCTATTCGTTCCCCAGTTGGTGCGCAAATATGCACTTGTTATGATATATCTTGGTTTGATTTGTTTGCCTCGCCACATGCAAGATGGGTTGCACATGACTGAGGGTGTTGGAGCTTGATATACATTGTTGACCTGTTCTCTAACAGTTTAAGCTTTTGGAGCAATTGGTAGTCTAACACCAATCACGTTTTGCCCATTACTAATTGATGTTCGTAATGCAGTGAGAGGGATGATGTACTACCGAAGGGCTTTGAAGCTCCAGGCTTTTCTTGACATGGCTTCTGAAAGTGGTAAGATGAAGATATTTTTTTGCACAGCATTTTGACAATATTTCAATGTTTTCTCTATGAGATAGGGATCTTAATCACGTTGCAAGTTAAGCCTGTTGAGCATGCTTTTTGTGTATAAATGGTTTGAAGGATGAGATGAGCGCCTTAAGAAATATGAACAACGCTATAAAAGATTCAGATAAGATGAAGTATATCTGTTGTTCAGTACAGCCCTAATCAATTTCGCAGTTTTCATAAATCAAATATATTTAGTAAAAGGTGGAGTTAGAAAGTAGAGTTAAAAGATTCCACCATGAATCCCAAGTAAATTGGTTATTGAAATGAACAGAATTCAGGATCTTGTGATAAAAAAAAATTGAAAACTGATGACTATTATGTTCAGGGCAGACTAGGGTTTTTATGAGAATTCAAAGCAATAGATATTTTTATTATGGTAATATCATAGAGTACTATTCTCTCTGGCTTTGACAACCACAAATTCTCTTCGTTTGCTGACCAAAGGAGAAGCATGTCATGTAACTTAGGTGCTGTTTTGTAACCCAATTCAACACTTTATTCTGAATAGATCAAGTGCTTATCCAATTAAGTGCGTTTTGATAATGCAATTGCAATGTCACTTTAAAAAATAAGCGCCACTGAAAATAGGGTATAAATTTTAATTGACAGTGAGTTCACCTATTATTGAATGCTGAAGACTTAAAATCCAAAAAATAATGAAATATAATAAATTCTCAATTTAAAATTACCTCTTAAAAACTTCAGCACTTAAAATTTAGCTCTAAGATTTCCAGTTTTATGAAACATAACCATATTTCATGGATTAGGAATTCAAAAGAGTATGAGGATGTAAAACAGAAAGCTAATCTTATTTGTTGCTTTGTAGCTCTTAGCTAAATGCCTCTAACTTTTGATATTTAGAGAAGCATAAAATGTGCAGGCCTATGAAGCATGTACACAGACAAGGACACGGGATATGGACACAATACAATACGGATATGGCGATATGAGAATTTCTTAAAATATATGATACAAATACAATAAGGACATTTCAATATATATTGTATTAAATGCAGAGAGATATATAAAAGTTAAAAACATATATTTCTATATATGAGTTTAAAAATAATAATTGTTTGTCATATTATATATATTATTACTAACATGTCCTTAAAAAATGGCAAGCAAAGTTTAGAGTTGATATTGGTAAATTTTAGACTAAATTAGTCATGATATATATTTCTCAACACTTATTGCTGAAGAAATTTTAATCTTTTTTTGTTTTTCAATTATACTATGATATTATACTTGAAAAAGTTATATTTAATGTTCAAGATTTGTTACATCTGTGTTTCGAAGTATTACATGGCCGAAGTATAGATACATGTCAGAAATAAAGATACTATTTTCGAATTATGAATACTTTTAGGAAGTATAGTAGTGTTGGTATGCAACACGGATATTAAATTGATACGTCCCTTTGTAGAAGTATCCGTGCTTCATAGGCGCAGGCTTATGCTTTTGGAGCCTTCAGACCTGAGGCTTCTTCCTTTTGCTTTTGTATTTTTATAATGTATTTCATACTGTTTTCTGGAGATGCAGCTTAGTGTCGATTGGTTAGTGAATTAACCTTTTAGAGGTAATGTAATGGCTTCTTACTCTAGATGTAAACTGAGCAGAGATACTAGAAGGCTACAAAGCCATCACAGTTCCATCTGAGGAAGACAAGAGAAGTCAGAGATCCTTATATGCACAATTAGAGGCTGTAGCTGACATGAAATTCACATACGTAGCTACCTGTCAGATTTATGGGAACATGAAGCGAAGTGGCGATCGACGTGCAACCGACATTTTGAATCTGATGGTCAAGTATGTTTTCCATCCAATAAAGTGAAAAGGGTTCTCATATGTTGTAATTGTTATTTAGTTATTTGTTTTCTTGACAAATTCATTTTACCTGCTAATTTGATTCATGGTGTTTCCCGTGCAGTAATCCATCTCTTCGTGTAGCATATATTGATGAGGTTGAAGAAAGGAATGGTGGAAAAGCACACAAGGTGTATTATTCTGTATTGGTCAAAGCTGTTGATAACCGCGATCAGGTACTTATCATTTTTAACTTTGAACAAGACAATCATCTCAATTTATTGCAACTTAAAGCCTCATAGCCTGTCCTTATCTCTGAAGGAAATCTACCGCATAAAATTGCCTGGTGCAGTGAAGATAGGAGAAGGAAAGCCTGAAAATCAGAATCATGCTATAGTTTTTACTCGAGGAGAAGCTCTTCAGACCATTGACATGAACCAGGTAACCCTGGCCTCCCAGAAGTTTGAATTGTAATGATTTCTTCTGCCAGTTATAATTATTCACTATCCCAATTTTTGTGGTAGGACAATTACTTGGAAGAAGCTTTCAAAATGCGCAATCTACTAGAAGAATTTAATGAGGACCATGGTGTGCGTCCGCCTTCAATTCTGGGTGTTCGTGAACATATCTTTACTGGAAGGTTGGGTGGTCATTTTCTTTTTTCGCATTGTCAGTTGATTAGTGACATTAATTTATTAATTATATCTGATATGTTATTATGCTGCATTGCAGTGTTTCTTCTCTGGCTTGGTTCATGTCAAATCAAGAAACGAGCTTTGTCACCTTAGGTCAAAGAGTTCTTGCAAGACCTTTAAAGTATGTTTAGTACTTTGATCAGTAAATTTTTCGAAATGTTATTGAAAATGATTACCATTTTTTTTATTTTTTATCTTGGAAAGGAGATAATCATTGATGCCACCAGCCATAAATTATTAGTAAGACTATATAACAATGATAGCATTTTTTGAAGAAGCCTGATTGTTGATGTGCAGAATCATTTTAGTTTACCACCATAAAAGTTTTCAGTTCAAAAAAGAAAAATGTAAAAACAAAAACAAAGGATCCATTATATAAAAGAATCAACTCTCTACCTCTATGCGATAGTACTGTTTTTTTTTTTTTTTTTTTTTTTTTTAATAAAAAAATTGACATATTTATATAGTCAGTTTCAAGGAAAGATTATTTTTGTTTAGTGCTTTATAGGGCGAGGACTTATTTCTTCTTCTCCTTTATTTTTTTTTATTTTTATGAAAATCATTTAAATTGCTGTGCTTTTAACTTGCAACATGAAATTAATTACAGGGTCCGATTCCATTATGGGCATCCAGATGTGTTTGATAGAATTTTCCACATTACCCGAGGTGGCATCAGCAAAGCTTCTCGGGTCATCAACCTAAGCGAGGATATCTTTGCTGGTAGATTTTTAAATCTTCTACTTTCTTCGGAATGGCATTCAATTTGTTTGTGCCTTGTTTATACATTTTGCCTTTACAGGTTTTAATTCAACACTAAGGCGCGGGAATATCACTCATCATGAGTATGTCCAAGTCGGGAAGGGACGAGATGTTGGCCTAAACCAGATCTCACTTTTCGAAGCAAAAGTAGCCTGTGGTAATGGGGAGCAAACGCTGAGTCGGGATATCTACCGCTTAGGCCATCGTTTTGACTTCTTCCGTATGCTGTCATGTTATTTTACAACTACTGGCTTTTATGTCAGCTCAGTGGTAATTCCTTTTCACATGCGGATCACCTGCTAAAAAGAAAAATTAATAACGTTATTGCCAAGCTGATTTGAAGTCGGTTAGAGCGTAGAAAACAAACTGAAGTGCTCAAATATATTACAAACAACGAGGTAGCAAGATCTCATCTCTTGGGATAAACATTTTTATGTGGTGGATGCACATGTGTCACCACTAAATATGCTGCTGATTTTAGAGGTACATATACAGTCGAAACTAGTTGTAGAACTCTTACACAACAGAGAAGCAATGCAAAATAATTTAAATAAATACTGGGGATTAAGCTGGCACATCAGACTGAAGATTAATAACGGCCTCTTTTCTGTATAATATAATCTAGTGTTGACCATTTAAATCTGAGAATGTTCATTCTATTTCCCTTAGTTGATTGTATTATACTTGTTAAATACCATCTACTCTAAAAGCTAGAGCTATTAGAGAGGGTGTAACTTTAATATTTAAATCCTTCAACACGCCCCCTCATGTGTGACCTTCTTTTGGTCCAACACATGTTTCAATTTTAATTATCAGGGTGACGGTGAGGTTTGAACATAGGACCTTGCTTGCTCACATATTATGCTAACAACCATCTACTCTAAAGTTTAAGTTGTTAGAGAGGGTGTAACTTTAATTTTTAATTCCTTTAACAATAATCTATCTGGTAAAGAAAACAAATGGAAAGAAACTAATAATTTGAAGAATTGGAAGATTGCTTTGTTATTCTTCTCCAAAAACTGTTGAACCTCTTTAGATATTATGTCAAGCACCTTACATGCTTTGACATCCAATATACATATGTTGCTAGTACATTGGCAGCATGTTTTTTCGTCTACTATCTTATGTTTCATTTGTCAAATATTGCCTCAAAAGGGCATTTAAGAACCTTACAGATTCCTTTATAGGGCATTTGTACGAAGACAAATAACTGCCTCTTTACATTTGATCACTTTATTGTTTTAAAGGTCTTAAAAAGGTACATAAGTCAACATAACTCAATTCAATGAAGCCTTTAATTAAATTTTTAATGGAAAAGTTATATTTTCGTTAAAAGTTTAAAATCCTTTGTTATAGTGTAGTCTCCACTCCGAGAATGTAAATTTTCTTTGACTAAGAAAATCCAACGTCTAGGAAAACCTGCTACAAAGTTGAGTGTAACAGGATTCGTCACCTTCTAGTTAACATTACAACATTCATGGAAGGTATATATTTTCAAGAGCCACAGTGGGTTTATTTTCTGTTGAGTTGTGTTCTTAAGCTTCTCATATACATTCTGATTCATAGATCTATTTCATCGAAAATTTCAGATAACACAAACTTTTTCTTGATAATTTGCAGATGATTGTGTTGACTGTTTATGCATTCCTATATGGCAGACTCTACCTTTCATTAAGTGGATTGGAGAAGGCAATTGTTAAATATGCACGGTCTAGGGGAGATGATCCTCTGAAAGCAGTCATGGCTTCGCAGTCCCTTGTTCAAGTTGGTATTTTAATGACCTTGCCCATGGTTATGGAGATTGGACTAGAGAGAGGATTCAGAACTGCGTTAGGTGACTTAATAATTATGCAGCTCCAGCTAGCAGCTGTCTTCTTCACTTTCTCTCTTGGGACAAAGGTCCATTATTTTGGGCGCACTGTGTTGCATGGTGGGGCTAAATACAGAGCCACTGGGCGTGGTTTTGTTGTCCGACATGAAAAGTTTGCAGAGAACTACAGGATGTACTCGAGGAGCCATTTTGTGAAAGCACTGGAGATAATGATATTACTTATAGCTTATCAAATTTATACTTCGGCTGCTCCTGATACTATTTCTTACTTGCTCATGGCTGCCTCAATGTGGTTCCTAGTAGGTTCTTGGCTGTTTGCTCCTTTCCTTTTCAATCCTTCCGGATTCGAGTGGCAGAAGATAGTGGAAGACTGGGAGGATTGGACAAAGTGGATTAGCAGCCGGGGTGGTATCGGCGTGCCTGCAGCCAAAAGCTGGGAGTCTTGGTGGGAGGAGGAACAGGAGCACCTGCAGTATACTGGGTTTTTTGGGCGGCTCTGTGAAATTCTTCTTTCCCTGCGCTTCTTTCTCTACCAGTATGGAATTGTGTATCATCTACATCTGTCAAAAGGCAACAAAAGCATCATGGTGAGTAAATGAGCCGTGTCTCTGACATTTCGTTTATTGCATTTCCTTTCTGATTCTGTGTATAACCTGTTGAGTCTTATATTAACTTTTAGACATTTTGAAGTGCCATTTTTTTCATTACCATACATATAAACCTTTAGTCCTTCTATATCTGTATTTCAAGCATGGTTTTGAAGTTTTGGAATCTCATTCGGAAACCTTAAGCTGTTCTACTCTTAATGGATAAGTTACTGGTGTAGTTATGTGCACAAAAATGGCTGGCTAATTTGTTATTGTGATTACAGGTCTATGGTCTGTCTTGGCTGGTCATTGTTGCGGTGATGATCATCTTGAAGGTCAATGCTCAGATTCTGAATATCAACTGTTTCCTTAACAATATTTGAACGATTGTTTTATATAATGAGTAACTCTGAATTGCAGATTGTGTCCATGGGTAGAAAAAAGTTCAGTGCAGATTTCCAGCTAATGTTCAGACTTCTCAAGCTGTTACTATTCTTTGGGTTCGTAGCCACTGTTGGCATTCTGTTCGCATTCCTTAGTCTTACCATTGGAGACATCTTTGCTAGCCTGCTGGCCTTCATGCCAACGGGATGGGCTCTTCTGCAGGTTGATATCATTCATACTGCACAATTACTTTTAGTACATTTATACCTTTTTCCTCTACATAGCAGAACTCTGTGTGTGTGTGTGTGTGTGTGCGCGCGCGCGCGTATTTGCAGCAGTATTCCAAAAGAGAATTTTATTTTTTATTATTTTGCTATTTTTGGGTGCAGATAGCACAAGCATGCAGACCAGTGGCGAGGGGCTTGGGAATGTGGGGGTCTGTAAAAGCTTTAGCAAGAGGGTATGAATACATTATGGGGCTGACAATCTTTACACCTGTGGCAATCCTTGCTTGGTTTCCATTCGTCTCAGAGTTCCAAACCAGGCTTCTTTTCAACCAGGCTTTCAGCCGAGGGCTTCAGATTCAACGTATTCTAGCTGGAGGGAAGAAGAACCAGTGAATGCTACCCCCATCAAGATTGCACCTATTGAAGAGAGAACAGTTGTAGATGTATATATAGGAGCTGAGTTTCATAGAGATTTCTAAAGCCGGAACAGGAGATTAGACCAGCGTGCGTGGGCTGGGATTCCAAGGGATTTCCAAAGTCAAAACAGAGAGCATTGCAGCATACATGAAATGTAGTGTAGTATGTGTCTCTGTGTGTGTTTAATGTTAATCTTCACTTTGCTGACCCCCTTCATAGCATGTAGAGGAAGTAGTATCTTTATGTTTCTGACCCCCTTCATAGCCTGTAGAGCAAATAGTATATATCGTGTTCAATCCCCAAGTACAATTTATCCCAGTCGATGATATGTTTATACCCCGTACCCTCATTTTACTGTAAAACATGCAACAAAGTATCGAGTTAGATATTATTTTAAGTACATCGCTTTAACGGTCATATTTCATTTTCGTGATACTGTTAGGCCACTAACCCGTTGGTATTTTCGTGTTGATTTACTGGTGACCAAAGGTTATATGCGGTCATGTTTTTATTTTATTTTATTTTTATTTTTTAAGCATTAACGATAAAAATAGTTGTTGTGAGGGTATCCGTGGATTTCAAGAGGAAGTGTTAATGGAATGGATTTTTACATTATTGAGTCGAATGATCGTCTCTGTTACATTCGCTTTTCAATTATCGGAGAATAAAAAATGTTCCTTTGATCTATCACAAACTGCCAGCATTACATGTTTTTTTGAATGAATGAGGTGATCTGCTCTCTGCTCGCCGAAAAGAGATTGCAAAAGATGGCATGGCAACAAGGTAACGTGAGTTTCATCATTTTTGAGACGTTCAACTTCATTCTGTGAAGGTAAACAACACTGGGCTAAGAGTTGTTTTTTTTAAAATTTTTTTTTTTTTTTAGTGTCCTCCAATAGTAATTCATTAAGTCTACTGATAAATTAGTAGTAATAAATTAAGGAAACCAATTGGTTAGCTAAATGAATTTAAATAAAATATCATCGATGTTTAACTTTCTCCTCTATTGGGAATATTGACTCTCTCTCACCCACTCAATGGTTATAAATATTAATAAATTATACTTATAAGATAAAATAAAATAAAATATAGTGGATTAAGAGGCAGAGGGCCATTTTATTAATTTTAGGAGGGTTATTTTATCAATTTTTATAGATTTATGTATAAAAAAAATAAAAATTCTAGTGGGGCAACATGGGTAGGGGAAGCTGCTCCCCTGGGCACATGTTGTCTCCGCCCCTCGATGTGACTACATGTCTTCAATACTTCTAATTCAAGGCCAGTCACTTTGTCCACCCTTGGGAGTTTACATAGAGAAACTTTGAACTTCAAAGTTGGCGAGTACCACATAAGTTGATGCACAATAGTTAGCTAAAGGTTTTGGAACCCGTTTGGACCGTCAAAAGGTCAAACGGGCGGGTTGATCAGTTTTTATTAAATGATTTCGACGAAAACGTTTTTGACCCGGAAAGAGCCCAGTTTTATTAGAAACGGCCCAACTCGCAGATATCGGCAGTTGCCGAGGTAGGACGCCTTTTGGGCGAATTCAATCGTTTAAGGCTCGAAAATGGCGTTTTTCCAATTTTAAATATTTCGGGATTTTCGTTAGAATTCTTAACGGATTTGATTTGCTTATCTTTTTGGTATTGCCGTACGTGTATAATATGTTATATGCACTAAAAATTCGGGACCAAAAATTCAGCTATGCATGCCTGTTTCAGAAGGATTTGGCATGGAATTTGATCTTATTATTTTTTTATATATCATATATTTTTAAGGATAATGAATAATAGGTAACAAATAATAAAATAAATATATTATAATTAACACTATCACAATAATCATAATATAAATAAACTATCTAAATATAATTAATCAATAACCATAGGTCCATAATATGATCGATTCGTAACAAAATTAATGAAAAAATTATAATTCAATTAATCAACTATGTTGCCTAAATTAAAAATAAAATGTAGCTGCTTGAACCTCTTAGGGTTCTTTTGAACAAATTTCAATCTCTACCTTTTACCCCGGATAAATGTGATTTGATTTTTGAAATACCTCAATGATAGTTAGGAGTTTTGTTCAACATGATCCCAAAATGGATCCCTTTTTTTTTTTTTTTTTTTTTCCTTGATAGCCTATATATTTATAATAAATGCATAAGTATATGGTGTGATATTTGTAAAAATATCTTTATATTATATTATAACATCTAGTGAATGTGGTGATTTACAAACTTTCAAAATAATAATAATAATAATAAAAATAAAGATCCTAACAAAATTTAAAAGATCTCAAAACAAAACAAGAAATTTATAAATGTCTACAAACATTAATAAAAATATTTGATTCTTCAAAATTATAGTGCTCCTTAAGGTATCTAAATATATATATATGTGTGTGTGTGTGTGTTTCATTACTTTGATTAAAGATCAAGCATTGGATTGATTGACAATAATAAGAGATTAAAAAAAAAAAAATCGAGTGATAGTAGAACAAGTGAGTTGTCACAACCTTTCTCGAGATTGCACAACAAATAGTATTATTTTGATGGTGTGAAAGAGAAGGGCTATACCAAACAAAAGACAGTAGTTTGTGTTAAGGATGTGTGTTTGAGAAAAATACACCATTTGGAAACGTGAACGAAATAAAAAAAAATAATAATAATAAAGTTAATCTAAAATATAAAAACCAATTAAATGGAGCAATCAAAACGAATAAACGTGTTACATACGTGATTATGAAAAAATAAACGCATATTTTACCGTATCTTTTAACTCTGATCGATAAATGGGAATATTTTTTCAAAATTCGTACGTACGAGTTTAATTCGCATATCATTACTAGGCAAATGATCACCTAAGAGAAGCTATTTATCCCAAATAAGGGAAGAGAAGAGATAAAGTAACTTACTTTGGTACCTCTGGAAGTTCATGAAATTCCAAAGAACATACAATAAAGGGCACGAATAGATTATAAATTGAGTAAGATTATATAATAGATTAGTCAAGGTGATTTGCATATACATGTGATATGTGATTGTATATATGGACCTAGATTGTCTATTGAATATTTAATGTTTTGTTCAATCATACACTCTTGTACATATTACTAAGGGTCTTTCTTGATTATCCACTAAGATGGGTACAATATCCAAAGTAAATAAATAATAAAATATGAAGGAGTAATATCTGTTATGCATTGACTCAAATAAAAATAAAAATAAAAAATTCTGGACTAGATTGCATGAGACAACATGATTCTTTTTTCAATTGACACTTTGTCCATATGTCTTATAATCATGCATTTTTGGAGGTACAATAATTAAAGAAGGTTTGAATGATTGAAACAAAATCTTCAAATCATTTACGGAGTCATTGAACAATATTGTAGTACAGAGTACTATGTTTTTTTGGTAGCTACTATTAAGATTTTGTTGTTTTATTATTTAATGAATAATAATATACTACTGAATGCACAAGCTGCGCTGTTTGGTCTATTGTTTGGAGTTCTAAACATATTGCATACATTGAATAATTTCAATTGAACTTCAAATGTTTTTAGAGCTGACATATGTGATAAATGGATAAATTTTCATATAAAATCCTATAAGGCACAAAAGAGTGCCAACGAAAAATATTATATGAAAATTATCTCGAATTCAAAGAAGTCGAAGGTTAAATTTTCATATAAAATCCTCTAAGGCACATAACAGTGCCGAGGATAAAAATAATATAAAAATTACCTCGGATTTAAAGAAGTCGAAGGTTAAATTTTTATATAAAATCATCTAAGGCACAAAGCCGAGGAAATATATTAGATAAAAATTACTTGGAACTCAAAGAAGTCGAAGGTTAAATTTTCATATATCCTCTAAGGCACAAAAGTGTGTCGAGGATAAAAATAATATAAAAATTATCTCTAACTCAAAGAAGTCGAAGGTTAATGACACACCCCAAGCCAATTTACACTATTTAATAAATTAAACTAATTGGAATGCATCTAACCATCTGCATTAACCTCATTCAACCATGACGTCATCATACATCAGAGTACCTGTTTAACAGTTTATAATTTAAAACAAAATTATAGGCCCTTTATACAAATTCTGACAAACTAAATCGTTAATGACAAGTTACACTATTATATTCTACTACAATATTTACATCTAAACAAAAGACGTTCCATTGTTCTTTTCCCCATTCATACAGAAGATTCTAAACTTGGCAGTAGTAATCCAACCTGATACCTGAAAAAAAAAAAAATACATATGGAAGGAATGAGCTTAAAACCCAGTGAATGCAACACTAATACATCAGAGTAATATAAACGAATATTATATGATAACTTCAATAACATATTACATGCATTAAAATATAGTACTCTCCTTCTAGGCCAGAGTATGGACCTTATATATTATAGTACTCTCTTTCTAGGCCAGAGTATGGACCTTATTCCAATATGGTACTATCTTTCCAGGCCAGAGTATGGATCTTATTTAAATATACTACTCTCTTTCCAGGCCAGAGTATGGACCTTATATATATATATGCATCTTCATTTCACATAAACAACTTCAATACTTTAATTTAACACATTCAAGTGTAAAACTTTCAGTGAGTACACTTACCTTGGCTACTTTTTGACTTATCTACTTATCCCTTGGTAATGTCGAAATTGTGAACTCCTTTTCCTTCTATACAACATTTATAATCATGTCATATATATTTCTAAAGAAAATTTAAACAATTTAATCCTCAAATCAAATATAAATCCCAACCTTGGTATGTAATTGTAATTGGAATTCTAATGATAACCATATAGATTAATTTCAGGGCAGTAATTAAAATCATGTTAGAATTGTATCACTTCATATAACTTAACAATTTAACTAAGAAAGAAATAATGATAGAAATTTGGTTCAAGAGCACCTTAATAAGTAAAGTATTGACAATTTAAATAATATAAATTTTCAATATAAAATTTAAACTACAAAATTTTCTACCTTCAGGACTGCATACACGATTTTTCCCTAACTTTCCTTATTTGTTTCCTCTTCCTTCCACTATTTCTACTTTCATTCTTTCTCCTTATTTCTCTCTTTCAATCTCCTCTCTGACTTCGATAATCTATTTCTATCCATTTATTGCATGCTTTCTTAGATTACTCACCATATCTATATATATATATATATATATATATATATATATATATATATATATCACCTCAACAAGTTAAACTACTTAACAATTCTTTCCCTTTCAGATAATTTAGAACTTGAATTTAAAATTAAATAAATGGCAATCTACATGAGTTATATAAAAATTCATAAATCAGACTATCCATAGAAAGTTGAAATATTAAATATCAAATATAATTTCTTTACCTTAGGTTGAATCCAACAAAGATTGTAGAGAATTTTTCTTCCTTTTCTACAGAACACCCACTTTCTGATTCTATCGGTCTTCTTTTTTCACTCTCTTTCAATTTCCTTATTTCCTTTTCTGGTCCGGTTTCTCTAGTCCCGCTGTTTCTTTTCTTTTACTACACACCTTTAATTTTAACATACTGGTCCGGAGAACCCCCAAAACGAAAGAGGTAAAATAATGTATATATGGA